TTCAGGTCTTTCAGGCAAGGTTTTTTTTGTCATATAGAATTTCAGAGAATAATTTCTTTGTGAAGGGACAGAGTGTACCCTCAGCAGTTTTGCTGATGGTGCAAAGCTAGGAGGGGTGGCTGACACACCAGAAGGCTGTGCTATCCAGCATGACCTGGACAGGCTGGAGAGTTGGGCAGAGAGAAACCTTCTGAAATTCAACACGGGCTAGTGTAGGGTAGTGCGCCTAAGGAAGAACAGCCCCGTGGATCAGTACAGGTTGGAAGGTCACCTGCTGGAAAGCAGCTCTGTCAAAAAAGTCCTGGAAGTCCTGGTGGACAACAGGCTGACCATGAGCCAGCAATGTGCCCTCATGGCCAAGAAGGCCAGTGGCATCCTGGGCTGCATTAAGAGTGTGGCCAGCAGGTTGAGGGAGATCATCCTACCCCTCTACTCTGCCCTGGTGAGGCCTCACCTGGAGTTCTGGGCTCCCCGCTTCAAGAAGGACAGGAAACTGCTGGAGAGGGTACAGAAAAGGGCTACAAAGATGATTAGGGGACTAGGACATCTCTCTGATGAGGAAAGGCTGAGGGACTTGGATCTTTTTAGTCTGGAGAAGACTGAAGGAAGATCTAATCAATGCTTATAAATACTTAAAGGGTGGGTGTCAGGAGGATGAGGCCAGTGCTTTTTCAGTGGTGCCCAGTGACAGGACAAGATGTAATGGGCACAAACTTGAGCATAAGAAGTTCCACCTAAACACAAGGAGGAACTTCTTTACTTTGAGAGTGACAGAGCAGTGGAACAGGCTGCCCAGAGAGGTGATGGAGTCTCTATCTCTGGAGACTTTAAAAATCTGCTTGGATGCCATCCTGTGCAACCTACTCTAGGTGATCGTACTTTGACAGGAGGTTGGACTAGATGATCTCCAGAGGTCACTTTGAACTCCTAACATTCTGTGGTTCTGTGATAAGCTCCTTTCTTTATGTTACGATCCCGTTAACAACGACAGGACTTTGATCTGAGGAAAACAAGCTTGGGACAAGCATCTTCAACTCATGAAGTTTCCAACTTCCATTGTTGAAGCTCTTGGTTGTTTTGGAAACTCACATTAATGCTGACAAAAATCAGCTCTATAAGTAGGAGAGGTTGAACACCTGTACACTCTAACTTAAGAAGTTACATAGTGTTGATCTGGTGCTTAGGGACATGGTTTAGTGGTGAACTGACAGTGCTAGGTTAATGATTTGGCTCAGTGATTTTAAATGTCTCTTCCAGCCAAAGAGATTCTGGGATTCTGGGATTATCTATGTTGTCAGTTTTCCAGCACCAAAACTATTTTGCATCGTCTAGTCCCATAAACAGGGTAATCCAAGGTTTGTTATATTTCAATGTTTACACAAAAAGTTTCAAAATGGACCCAGAAACCTCTGATGTGTTGCTGGTTACCATAAACTGTGCTCTTAGGATAAAGAGCTATTTCTTGCTGCAGCTAGCTTGTTAGTCCTGTGCTGGATGAAAGTAGAAAAGAAATGGCTGTCATTGAAAAAACTGGCACAGGTGGGTACGGGTTGTGGTCTCTGTTATTCGCTTTACACAGCTTTTGAGCCTTGTAACTCATGTGAGACTTACCCATGTACCCACCCTGAATTCTAGTGTTCTGTGGTGGGTGTCTTGAACTGTGATGCCTGGAGACTAGAAACCTGCAAGTTGCTTTAGGAGGTCAAGATCCAGATGTCTGTGCAGTGACAGCAACACAAATATGAAACTGATGTGTGTGTGTTTGCTGGGAATCAGCTCACCGTTTCATCTTGTGCTTTGTTGTCCCTGTCTGCAATTCTAAGTCAAAAGTTTGGCATATCACACTCTTGATATTTGTATGTAATACATATAAGCTGTTTAGGATATTGTGTTTAGTTTCCTCCTCTCCCCCTTTTATTTTTCCTCTGTTCACACCAGCTTCTCTAAATATAATGGCTTAAATTCAGTCATGGTGTAAAAGACATGTACCTAGAGGGTAAAGGGAAAATCTGTTGGAAGTAACATTGAGCTTAATTGCAAGAATGAGGTAGATGGCTCGAAGTCCTTAGATATTTCATGAAACATTTTCTTTTGCTCTGTAACTTCTACCGAAGTGACAGTTGCAGCATTTTGCTCTTGCCACTGGTGGAAACTAAAAAGCAGTTACAGAAGTCATAAGAGCTTTTGGAGGTTTTAGCAAAAATCTCTCTGTGTTGGGGTTTTTTTGGTCACTGACATTCTGTTTGAGACAATGCTGGGGGGAAGGGTGTCTTGCTGAGGTTTTTGTTGAGTTTTGCAAATTTTCCTACAGCAAGTCAGGACCAATCTGACTTCTTATGCAAGCTGTTCTGCAGCTAAGTTTGTGTTGTCCTGTATTTTTCATGTATTTGGCTGAATGTATTTACTTTGTTATTTGTTTTGAACAGATCTTGGGTTTTCAGATCTTGGAATGTCTTTTTTTTTCTTTTCTGTTCTTTTTTTTTTTTTTTTTTTCTGAGCCTTGTACAAGTTTCCATCTCAGAAACAGTGCTTATGTACTTAAGGTATTATTCTAAAAATGCTGTAAGATTAAGTGGAAATGTCAAAGTGGAGGCTAGAAGTGGCTGTTAATTTAAGAGTCTCCGTTGGGAATTATGGTTTTCCACCAGATAGATTATGAGGGATCGGCACCAAAGAGCAATCCTTAGATTTGACTGGGAATAGCTTTTGGTGGCGGGTTGAATGTCAAACCGCAAACTATCCAGAGGATATGGGGGGTGACGAAGTTCAACACAAAATGTAAATTGCATGTAGAAAAGCCGAGAAGATGAGTGGGTGGGATGGCAGATAATTAGAGAAGTACAGCTGTGGTGCCCAGTTGTGCCCATCAACACCAGGGTAGTTTTGTTTTCTCCTGAAGCGCTTTACTTTTTGGCGTCCTTTTTTAGAATTAGACTTTAAGCTGAGTTTTGCAGCCAATTCTCTATATATCAGAACGAACTACTTATACTTAAAAAGAAAGGTCTTAATTTTGTTTTGTTTTTTTAAACAGAGTGCTGGAGATACTCACACCCTGCCCAGCAGAATGGGTGAAAAGCCAAAAATGCATGAGTTTTTCCTTTGATATGAAAATATTTGCACAGCTCTCACAAAGATTTAGAGCTTTAGTTTCCAAGATAGCACCCCTGTTGTTAATCCCATCTGCACTCTGTGGGATATCTCTAGTGACATACCACTAACATTTGAGGTAAAAATAGGCTTCTTTGCTGAGTGACGGTAAGGAACAAGATTTCTGCTGTGGTTAAAGTTATCACATAGTCACATATATTTACACACTGCTCTTGCTGACCTATCTCAACTAGCAGAAAACTGAGAGTAGGTACAAACAGATTGGGGAAGAACACCTCTTTAGGCTGTGCAAAGTCAATGCTTGAATCTTCCAGGTAGATGCAATGTGCAAGTGACTTTTTATTGGTTCTGGTTGGTTTTTTTTTTAGGATTTCTAGTCTTTTTCTTGGATTTTTATTCACTAATGTGTATTAAATCTGTGATTTAAATAATTATTGAAGTGGGGAATAAGCAGCAATTGAGAAGTGTCTCTCCAGACTACTCTGGGGTAATTTTATGCAGATTGATGGGATGTTATTTGAAAGCATGACATTATTCCTTTAAGTTTATGTGAGTGATGCATTGAAATTATTGATCTGGCTTTGAACACCCATTAATGTCCTGTTAGGTTTTACAAATGACTCTTGGGTTTTCTGTGTATGTCTTGAATCTGTTGAGCTAACAAAACACTCATTTCAAATAAATGTTTTGCAATACAGATGCAAAATGGTGCCTTATCTTCAGCATCTTCCATCATCTTGCTTGGCACTTTCCAGTCATTCTCAGCTTTGCTTTCAAACCTGTCCCTTAACTTCCTTCCCACTCCCTGACGAAGAATCTAACCAGCCTTGCCGCAGGCCACACATGTATTAAATATACTCCAACCTAGAAAGAGCCATTGCCTCCATAGCGCCATGACTAGAGCAGGTGGGATTGAAAGCACAGATACAAATGAAAAAAATAATGCCTTTTCTCCATGGAGTCTTTATTTACATGAAGTGGATCAAAAGTGTGAGCCAGAGCTGCTGCGCTGGTTGTTTCTCTTGGAAAGCGGGATATTATCGTTCACATCTCATTTAAACATTGGCATTCATTTACCATGAATGCCAAGCTGTTACCTGTTAATAGGTGTTTCTCTCTCATCTTCCTGTTGTGAGCTTTCTGGTCAAGATATTTTGTAAGGTAATTCCAGATTCGTCCTCTACATTAGGTACCTGGAACATTGCAGGGAATTAGTATACACTAAGTGGGAGCAAAAGATGAGGGACTTATTGTAGTTTGCTTGGTGGCAGCTGTGGAGTTTTACTAAAGCAAATTGTTTAATTTAATGGATTTCCCAACCTGAGACTGAAGTTACTGTATGCCCGGTAGGCAAATCCCTGGCGGAAGAGGCTGCCTCAAACGACATGTCATGAGGAGAAACTAGTGGTGGCAATGGAAAGCTGGCAGAGGTACAAGAGTTTATTTGAGTTGCCCATAAAGGAGCCAGGACAGTCCATCAGCAAGAAGGTGGAAGCAAGAGAGTGGCTGGCAGGAGGGGCCAGCGCATTCAGCTTCATCTGTCACCTCGTCCCATCTTGTGTGTCAATGGAAGGATGGGGGAGCTGATGGTGAAAGTGCTGCTGCTTCTGTGGGGCAGTGCCCATCTCTGAACCCGTAAAGGGTGTTGCTGACATCGGTCGGTGATTGCACTCCTACTTCTATTTCATGCCTGTGTGTAAGAAGTGACATACTATGTTAAAACTGACCTGCAGTGATTACATAAAATTATCAAACCATTTTGTAAAAGATAATGATCATCATAGATACGCTTAGAAGCTTTTATTTTGAACTGCTTGTCCTTTAAAATAAAACACTTTTTATTTCTTTTCTGCTGTTTTTTTTTAACAAAACCTTTATCTGTTGGTGAGCAGGCATCAGAGGAAGTGTCAAAATCTCTGCAAGCAATGAAGGAAATTCTGTGTGGGACGACAGAAAAGGAGCCACCTACAGAAATTGTGGCCCAGCTGGCGCAAGAGCTATATAACAGTGGCCTTCTAGTGACGCTTATTGCCAACCTGCAGCTGATCGATTTTGAGGTAGGTCAGCAACCTTTTCATCACCTTCGCCTCAGTGTTGTCAGTGAACTGTGTATTTCTGAAGTCCTGTGGTCTACGGTCAGCCAGGATCATGGTCACCAGGGACTGCTGTTATAAATCCTGTGATTGCCGTGGCTCCCAGGATCTTGTCATGAGTATCTGAGCATCATCAAGCAGTGGGAAATCCCCAGGAATCAAACCTCCACCACTGAGGTCTGAATCAGGAGCTGAACCCAACATACTGGGCAGGGTGGCTGCTGAATTTAAAAATCGGTTTCCCAGAGAGATCATCTGATGCTCTCAGAGCCACCTTTTGTGAGGGTTGATTTCTTGTGGAAGTTTTCTCCCCTTACTGAAGTTATTTGTTGTTACTTTTTACTTTTCTTTCACTTTTGTGGAGGAATGATGGGATATACACGTGTTCGTTTGCTCCCTCTTCTTCCCACCCTCAGTAAAGCCAAGATTCAAGGTACTGATTTATTTATTATGTATTAATTTTTGAAAATATTGCTAGTGGAGTTCTCTCACTCTTCCTCAGTTCTTAAATTCAGGAGATTTTTTTTGTCATAGAATTGACTGAATGATCCTTTCATTTTTATCCCTGTTACTCCTGGTTACCATTAAATCTCTTAATTACAAAAAAAACCCACAAACAACCCAACAACCCTGAACCCTAACAATCCAGTAATTTATTTATATTTTTTTAAGAAAAAAGGAGAGAAGGGAGGACAAAATAGAACCACAGAAGGGAAACTAATGCATAACCAAACAGCTACCTGACCACTTTTGTCATACAAAAAATCCTGTATGGACATGCTGAATCCACAGTCTTCACATGAAAGCACTGAATGAAATACTTAATCTGTCGTTGAGTTACTGTTATTACAAACAATACTAATAACTCTTATTGCAAAATAAAAGTTTCTGTGATAAAATCTTTCTAATCATCTAGCAAAGCTGTTATACATACTCTTTTGGCGAAACAGTAAAAAAATGACATTGAACAAGAGGATTGTAAGGGCATGTGCTGCTTTGTCTTCATATTCCCACTGACTTTTTCAGTTTATCAACTTTTCTGCTTCCATTTTGTTATATCTGTGGCCACAGTTGGCATGTAGGTTTCACTGTCGAACAAGCAATTTCATCACTTTATAATATGCAAATTAATTTTCTGATCCACGTGCAATGGTAAAAAGCAAACCCATCCCTTACTCGAAAACCCAGTTTCTGAAGGGAATAATGTTGGTGTAGGTTACTTTGTTTTGTCCCAGCTCCCTGCCTGCTCCTCACCAACCCTGCTGCCCACTTTGATCCTGATTTTGCACAGCTGTACTTCCCTTTGAAGATGTATTTTCAAACGCTTCATGCAAGCTGATGGCTGTTTAGAGGACTGAGAGCAGAGTTAATGCCCCCACCGAGAAAAAGGCAGGAACACAGACTCGAATCCTGTCTCATTTGTGTTTCGCCTGCCAGAACACTTAGAGCACGGGTGGCGGCAGGCGGATGCGTAGGGGAAACTTGCACACGTCCATCACATGTCTATAAAAACCACAGGTTTATTGCTTCTGCCACTCAAGATACAAGATATAATTATGGTGACAATATTGTTATGAAGAACTAAAGCTGGTTCTGGGCAGGAGCCCAGAATCAACATCGGACTGGATTTTTGGAAATCTAAAATATGAAACTCACTGTTGAACTTTGAAGAACTGAGGAAAGCGTGCATACAGAAAAAGTCAACTAAAAAAAATAGACGTTGCTAACGCTGTATAAGCCTAAAGGTTCACAAGCTGTAAAGCCACAAAAAGAGGCAGCAAATAGCCACAAGCCCAGGACTGGTGGTGTTAAGAGGCTTTCTTTCACTTTCTCTTGAATCAGGAGCTAAATTATGGTAGAGGTGTCATGCAATTTGTCACTTTTATAATGGCATCCTTTGCAGGGTTTTTGTTCTCACTTAGCTGCTTTCTCTCCATGCTGTCTTACCTTGTGCTTTGGTGGCCATGTGCAAATTATAAGGCAAAACCGAAATGCCGATTCAAGTAGGAAGTGCTGCAAAAGTATTCTACAATTTTTATAGATGTCTGGTGATGAAGGAATTCTGCTTTAGTTCCTTCCTCTTTGCCACCACTCCTGCCAGGAGAACCCAAGAGACAAAATTCTCTGGCTTTCACCATTTCTAGTCTGTAGAAAATTGGATGTAATTGGATATGTATCTCCCTCCTCTCTGAGATATATATCTATATATCTCTATCTGTATCTCCTTTCTGCTATTAGATATAATGCTGCAATGCACCTAATATTAAGCACCTAATACAAAATTTGGTATAGCAGAGAGGATCACTTAGTTTTTGGCCATTTTCACCTTGCCCTTTCAACAGCTCTTCTGTCTGGATTGCTTTTGTCTTGGAGTAACCTCTGAAGTCACTGGGGATCACGGGATTCCAGGCATACATTACGGGTGTTGTAAAGAGAATAGGATGACTCTATGAAGAATTAGCCTAATTAAGAGAATGTCCAAGGGTCAAGTGTGTTGCAGACAAAGGCAGATGGACTGGCCTGCTCTGATTTGATTCTCCCATTTAATTCCCTGAGTCCCCAAGTCTCCAACGCAGCTGGGTTGGAACGAGGAGGCAAGCAGAATATTTTCTGTTTCTCAGCAGTGATTTATTTGTAGAGGTGAAACCAGGGAATTTCCCTCTGTGTGAAACTATCTGCTCCTTGGCTTCAAACGTTCGATGAGTTCTCCACCAGTAAATGTTTGTCCTTTCGAGACAGATCAATGAGCATGTACAGATTACAAGTAACCTTTTGCTTTATCTTGCCCTGTGCATAATGACCCACTGTTGACTCAGTGCAACAGTTCCCCCCCTCCATTAATTTCACTCATCAATTTGTCTCCTGCGGCCAGGCAAGAAAGTGGTGGGGAAGGAAGAGGATTTCTAATGCAAAACGTGTTGGATAAAGTGAAGGATCTTAGTTGTGATGAAAGCAGACACGTATGGGATGCAGCCACTTTATCAGTAGTAATTATTTGATTCCTCATGGTGAAATAATGGGCACAGTTTTAAATGTAACCTCCATTTTCAAAAATGCAATCACACTTGACGTTGATTGCATTTGAATAATGAAAAGCACTGACTCTGTAAGTCCAGACTGTGGGAAAGTGCAGTTCGTACTAGCTTTACAAATTTGGAGGCTCCAAAAGCACATCTGGCTCAGGGTAGTGGCCTGCATTTTTAATACTTCAATGCTGCTGTTTAAGATAGCCGGGGGCTTGCTGGAGAGAATAAGAATGATGCAAATCTTCATTTACAAAAGTAAAAGTGTAAATGGGAGTGGGGGGATCCGTAGTCTTTAGGGTCACCTGATGGAGGGAACCTTCTTGTGACACTGAAGAACCAACAAGGTGGTGGGACTGTAGAGAGCCTCAAGAAAGAGACTGACTTGTTTTATTTTCAATTTAATTTCCACTTTAAATAGTGAGTATAGTAAATGGTAATTTATTAATGTTTTTCCAGATGAATGCATGTTTTTGTTCTTTCAACAGGGCAAAAAGGACGTTTCCCAGATATTTAACAACATCTTGAGGAGACAAATTGGCACACGCAGCCCTACTGTGGAATACATTAGTGCCCATCCGCATATCCTATTCATGCTTCTAAAAGGGTGGGTGCTTTAATTTCATTTTCATTAACGAGCATTTTCTGGAACACGCTGGCATTGTAGTTGATCTACTGTTTTAATTTTAGGTTTTTTTTAAAAAAAGGATTTTCATATTTTGTTCCTTTCATATTGACTTTCTTTCAACTTGCTGACTATTTTTCAGTGGATTATTTTATTTGACCACTATTTCTTCCCCAAATTTCCTGTTGGAATAATTATGTACTGATTATTTTTGACTGCTCCCCATGCCGTATGTACTTCAGTTCTTTTTAACTCTTGTATGACATTGTTGATGATTGCTTAGTTTCATTTAGACCATTTTGCACTGCAGGAGTGACTTATAGTGGTGTCTGTATAACTGTAGTCAAACTGGACCGCTCTGTGGTAGGACAGAGAGAAGCAAAAAGTGCATAAAGAGAACAGTTGTGTCTGTGGGACTGACTTCTCCAGCACCTGTAGCCACACGTACACTTAATTCTGTAACGAACTCCACAACTTTCAGCATTAAATCTTCTCTTTTTTTTCTTTTAACCTTTGAGGGAGTCAATGCTTAGTTGTAACCTGGTGGTTCCCAAGGTAAGGTGGTCAAGGACGGGGAGTAGACTGTAGTGTGGAGAGGACATCAGCTGTAGGTGCATTCCGGAGTGCCTGAGTGTTGGCCAAAAAAAAAAAAAGTTTTCTGTCCCTTCTACTTTTGACCAAAAGCACTTTCCATTCAGTGAGAATCTTTGCTTTTTCAACATTTGAAGTCTACTATTTTCTGCTCAGTTTTCTTTTGGCTTTAGGATTTTGTTTGTTTTTCCCTAAGGAAAGGAGAATATATCCCAATGTGATTTGGATTAAATAACTGATGTAGAAATAAATGCAGTGTGGACTGTGGTAGTAGTTGTATGGTCACGCTAGTAACAGCCACTTAAAGACATAATATAAGCCTTTTAAACTAATGATTCTTAAAAGAATGATTTTTTTTAATTGTCTTTCTTGCTCTTGAGGTTCAAAATTTGCATTTTTACCATTTGCTCCACAGCCATTAAGAAAATACTTAAGCACCATCTAAGGCTTGTGCATGATAAGGCTGCAGCCTCAAAGGTACAACTCCCTCCAGCCAGCGTCCCCCCTCTCCCAGGGGCAGACCTGAGCCAGGAGAGGGATGGGCGCAGGAGTCCTCTAAATAGGTATTTCCTTCAAAATTGGCCACGTTCCAGCATGGCCGAGTAGGGAAAAAAGCAACTGAGAGAACTAGTTGGTACCAGGGATTTCACAAACTGTGTGAGGTTGTGGTTGAAAAAGGTAGCAGAGATCTTGGTTGTTTTGAGTTGCGATTTGTTGTGATTAAAGCTTTAGCTTTAGTTTTTAAACTCTCGACTTGTTTTGTGTTACTAAAGGCCAGCTGCCTCAGAAAGGAAACCAGAAAGCTAGGTAAATGGATTTTGGTTTCATTTGTTCGTTAAAATTCACCATTTATATAAACTTCAAACTAGTCATTTCAGATCAGTGATGATAATTCTCTCAGTCGTTAGGTCGTACAACTGTTTTCAGTTTCATATATAGATAGAATAATTTTCTACCCTTTTCTCTATCTTTGCTTTTTTTATTTTTTCACTCATTTTGCACGTTGCACATGTATCTCTACCATATGTTTGGGCTTTATTTAAAGCTAAAAAATATTTTTGGATCATGTCCCAGATATTCTTTACCATCTGTAACAACCAAGAATATTAAAATGATAGTAAAGCTTTTATTATGCTTAATGTACTGCTGAGAGACATTTTACTGTAGGTGACCTGAGCCAGTAAATGTATTTAAGTGGCATCACTTGGATCCATTTTTTGGTCCTGCTGTGTGCAACAGTGTGTCAGTGTTACTTTGGACCTCAGGCTCCTTGTTCTTGACTTCTTGCCTGTTTCTCTGCAGCACTGTAGAGAATCAGTGTATCAGAATTGCTATTTTTGGAGTTTCTTGTTAGAAAGTGCTGTTGAATTCATCAGCAGTAATCCAGAAGTCAGTCCTGTTCAGCATTGAGGGTACCTGAGCGGCTGCTGCAGAACAGCATAATGATGTCCAAGGCAATGCTGCCTTACCTGCCCGTATCCTGCTGCTGGGACTGTCTACAAATTATACTTAAAATAGGTTCCTACAGCAAGAGCAGGGCCCTGAGCACGCAAATTGCTGCGTGCAGGCAGTGTGTGGTGCCTGTGTGCAGTCTGCCATGGGACATGCATTTCGGGTTAGGCACCACCACTTGAAAACGGGTCTTGACGACACATTTCCATATTTGTTTTATGCTAAATGAAATACACGAAATCAAAATCTGCTTAAAGGAAAGTAGATCTGGCCAGCTTGCCCCTTCGATGTTTGTTATATGACATTATCTGGAGAGAAAAAAAAATAATTTTACCATGACTATAAAAGAAATAGCTCATGACTATTGTGAAGGGTTGTCATTGTTTCCCTTGTATTGGATGCAAAATATCTTCTGCTCCCTGCCAGTCAGCTCCCAGCAGCATCAGTAAAAGGTTGCTTTATCGTTGCATAATGGGAGCTCTGTTGAGTGGGAAGGATCCTGAATCAGAGCTCCCGCCCAGTGTTTCCTGCCTAATACTCCAGTGGCACTGCCGGCTTGAGATAACTGTTCTTACCTCTTAGGCTTCGTTTTACTTGTTGGCTACTTCCTTCCAGTTTCTGAGCTTTAGAAAAACATACAGCACATAATTCACTTTTTTTTTTTTTACTTTTTTGGGGGGGAGGTAGATTAATTGGTCTTTCTGCTGCATGAAGACTTACTTTAACAGGATCTTATTTTCTGAGTGTGCAGGTTTTATGTATGAGGATTTCAGGTGAATACATGATTTGATATATGTAAAGTATTGGATATATTTGGGTCAGATTTTTTTCTCTGGTGTCAGCGTATTGCATTAACCCAGAAATATCTTTGGTCCTGTATAAGTTGAAATGTTTTCTCTTTAGTACAGTGACAAGAGGACTTGAAGTTTGCAGCACTTGCTTGTTTCTCATAAGTGACAAATTTATAAGCCCCTTTGTGAGTACGTGTGATGCCACATGCTACCTCTGACACACTTAGTAACTGCCACAATCTGTTGTGACCTCTCCATATCACAATGACGTTTAATGGTGTATTGTCTGAGGTTGCAAAATTCCCCCTGAGTTTATCCAGACTATAGGAGTTAGTATTAAATCAGACCAGAATATAACTGTTTGTCAAGACCTTGTTTCTCACAGGCTCGATGCCCTCCTAATCTCCTTCCTGTACCTCCTTACCTTGTACTATCCTGTGCACTACCTGTGCAAGAAGATTTGCGTTGAGATGCATCTCTGCAGTCAGTCTTGCCTCTTTCAGCCTCCACAATAACTGTCCTGAAATATTTCAAGTCTGTGGCTTCGTTTTCTGGTTGCCCCAGTAGTTGGTATCTGGAGGTTTCTTTAGGTTGTAAGTTCATCTGAACAGAGAAGAACTCTTTTTTTTTTTTTTTTAATTGCTGCAGAAATACAGCAGCATAGAGCACTAATTGCTCATTAGAAGTGATTTTGAAACATGTTTCTGTCATTTCTGCCTGATGTCTTTGCATGTAAGTGTGGGTGAAGAGAACATGCCAGTTATGACTGGGCAGCCTGTAAACTTCTTCCAGGCATATTCCAGGAGCCAAATCCAACTTCCCCCACTTATGTGAACAGCCAAAGGTCCATAACCCACTTCCAGATAATGGAGCATTTGACTAAGAGTGATTCTGTTGATACTTATGTTTTAAAGAGTTATTGTGCTGGAAACAATGTAATTTGCTTTTATTCCAACCAAAATATTCCTTAGCCAACTATTAAATATTTTCCTGGCCGCACTCCTAGGGGCAACTCCGCCTCTTTTTCCTTGAAAATTAGTGTTCCTGTTAATGGAGTTGAGAAGTATGCCTCAATGGGACGCATCAGCCGATCTCCGTTATCTAAAGAGTTATAAATTCACGTTTGCTAATGTTTCCCAAAATGAAACAAACAGGGGCTTGAGAGCCTGAGTTTCCTTCAGGGTGGGAAGTTCTGTTTGCCTATGTGGAATAGTAATTCATTTTTCATTAAGCCAACTATTGTTGACATCAGGTTGAAGTATGCAGCTCTGGTATGCTTGCAAAACACTACCATTCTTTTAAATTGCAAGCTGGTGGTAAATTTGAGAGCCCACTCACTTAGCACACAGATGACATTTTGTGTTTTTCTTCTTTTTTCTTCTCCTTTGGCTTAGTGATAGGAATTAATTGTGCAAAGGAAAAACTATGCTGATAAGCTCTGAGTGATAATGCACAGTTCTGATACAGTGTAGCCAGCTTATTGAAACACAGAGTGCTTTCTGTCCCCCTGGACTTCATCACTTTCACATGACTGTATATGGTTGGAAGAAGTTCATTTTAAGTCCTTCGTGGCTGTTGGATTTCATTCTTACTTTGTGTTCGTTTTTTTTAAATAACTTTTTTTTTAACTGCATTTCTAAGAGTTTTGCTTCAGATTAATTTCAACTTTAAAGAAATAAAGATTTTATAGAAATAGAAGATGATCTGAATTGCCTCTCCCTTCCCTCCCTTTCCAATATCAAGAAGTGTACCAGCTCCTAGCTATTGCAGTGCTTGTGCCGTAATGAGATTGTTCAGGAGGCAATTATTTGTTGCTCAAGTTACAAAGCCGTAGCCTCTGTAGAGGAGGGATTGAGCAGAATTCCCCTAAACCACAAAAAAAATAAAAATCTTCAGAGCTTAATCCTGTGTAGACTGCATGGATAGACTCTTTCTGCCTTCCTCATTAAACATTAATGTTCTAGAACAACGTTCTCTAGAAGAGGAGTGGGAGGTGATGGATGGTCATGAAGTGTCATAATTTTCTTGGATAAACTGAGGAGTTTGGAATTAAATCTGACAAAGGAGATTGTTATATTGTATGGGTTTTGCTTTCTCATCAATCCAAAAGGACGAAGGAGCTCTGTTGAAATGTTATGCACTCCCCATGGCCTTTCCGCAGAGTGGAGGTGCAACGATCATTTACAGCGAAATGTGTTTTGGCTTGGAATGACAGAAGTTTGAGATGGAAAACGCCAGCAGCTCCATCTGTGCGTCTGCTCCTTAGCTTTGGGCTGAGGTTCTGACGCTGGGTACAGCGGCGTGGTTGGGAGCTGCCGTCCGAGTGTCGTGTCCCCTCTGGCACACGTATTCCCCGTCCTGTGGCGTTCCTCTTTGCTGGAGAAGTGCCCATTTATCTTTGTTCTTCTACGTTTTGATCTTTTCTGTTTCTTTTAATTCTTCAGCTATGAATCCCCAAATATCGCCTTACGCTGTGGAATTATGCTGAGAGAGTGCATCCGGCATGAACCCTTGGCCAAAATCATCCTTTTCTCAGAACAGTTCAGAGACTTTTTTAAATATGTGGAAATGTCAACATTTGATATAGCTTCTGATGCCTTTGCTACTTTCAAGGTAAATTTTTTTATACCTGTGTCATACATAGTGTTGTGTGTCAAAACCAGCACTCCATCGAGAGTCATCAGTGAATATTGTGTTGTCTTTAAATGGAGTGGGTTTTCTTATTGTTCATTAAAGGATATAGTTAATCCTTGGTCTGTTTCACAGGATTCACAATAGTGATCAAGTCTGAAAAGAATCTTTAATTCAATACAGATTTGCATTTCACTAATGTTCTTCATCTTGATAAACCAAGCTTTTTTTATGCAACCATTTAAATTCAAATTAATCATGTATTACATACAGTTCTTGTAAAATGCGTGACCTTTTTCTCTCCCTACCTTCCCCCAGAGACAAAACCACTACCCATCACGACCACAACCAGTAAACAGAATGAATCATTTAAAACTCACTTTTGGAATCCTTGTAATTTTTGCTGTCCCTTCTGACTACAGCAGTCAAGTTTAGATTAATGCCCGACGATTGCTTTACAACGTATTTGTTCACTTTTGTGACCCGTGGTTCAGCGTAGGGACCGTACTGCTAAGAGCTAAGCAGGTGAAATTACTGTGTAGACTCTGTACAGAGTCTCTGTGTTGTATTAAAAATGAAGTTCCTTCTGGATCCATCTCTCATCAGGTCCCATGGACTTGTGCACCTTCAGGTTCTGAAGGTGATCCCGGACCTGATCTGCTCCTACGATAACCTTGCATTCTTCTGTAATGGATCAAGCAGGATTACCAGTTCAAACCCCCTGTTAATCAATAGCGGCATCTGTCTATTTTAAGTTGCAGTGTCGTGGTATTTATTAGGGAAATGTTACACAAGTGGAAGTAGCTCAGAAACACAGCAGAGTACTGTATAAAGATGCAGCGTAACCGATATTTAAATCTCCTGTCTCTGGCATTTTACCCTGTGCTCGGAGTAGCGCTTGTCTCTGGTCAGCAAAAGGGCTTCCAGCTTGACAGAAGAGATTTGCGTTTTTTCCCCACATCTTGCTTTGGGCAGAGTGTGGGGTTGGTGATGGGCAGCCTTCAGCCCAGCCAGGAGGCAGGATGAGGGACAGGAGCGACTTAAGCTGTGCCAGAGATCACAGATTGCTGCGACCCTCGCCAGAAGAGAGGGATTGATGCTGTTCACGCATCTACAGCTGTGGAGCTTACTTCTGTCCCCTGTGAGCTGAGTGTATTTTTAGCCAGATTTAAAAATAGAATTCTGCATCCTCACGTGCACTGGAAAGAGAGCAATATGAGGGCAGTTCATCCTCAGGCACAGGGCAGAAATCAGCCATAGCTGATCCCTCCATAACTGATTAGTTTATTTTCTTCCTTTCCCTTAGTCCAGTTTATTGTATGTACCGTGCACCATGACCAATGTCCATAAGAAAAGGTGGTGGTGGAAAGGAGTACAAAGAAAGAGTGTTAGAATAGTTCTGTATTGATATTGTTATCATTAACTAAGTTCTCCTTAAAATCCAGCTAAACACACAAAGCAGTATTGGTTTTAAATGCTTTCAGTCTATAGAGATCATGTTGTAAATACCTTCTAAAAGATGATCTGGTAAAAAATGCTAAAATACATTTGAAAATCAAGGGGCAACCTACAGACTGCATTTTTTTTTAAATTGCCTCTTATTTTAAAGTTCCTGACCTGATACATGGTCAGTTCTGGAAATAAATAAGCCATTCATCTAATCTATTTGTCTGTCACTCTGAACAGCTGGAACAGCAAGAAGTGATGTGGAAGCAACTGAATCATGAAATATGGAGCTGCCTCATTTCTAATACTGTAAAAAATAAAAAAAAAAGTGCTACGATTGCTCACTGGCTGGATTGCTGAACTCATGTTTTCAGTTCTGTTTCCCCCTAGCTAGGTTTGTAGTGTTGCCACTAGGGTGTCTGATTTGGAGCTGAAAGCCTTGCACCAGAGGAGAGCTAATTAAATGTGCATTAAAGTCTGAGGATATATATAGTAGGGAAGTACTGGAATTTTTTATGATCTGGAGATGTATTTCTTAATTAAATTCAGCCAGGTGCACTGCAGAGAGGAAAGAGAACTGCTAAAAATGTGGCAATACAGTCAGCTGTGGAGGGTGCTAGCAGTGACTGGGAAGAATGCAGGTTGAATACTACTGCTCCGTGCTTTGTCATGATTTTCTATGAAAAACTGATTTTGGATTATATTCCATTTGTGCCCCCTGTTGAAAAATATTGCAGTTGCTTCCTAAGTGCCCTGCATAAAACTGCTTGTTTGTTGCACTCAGTCTTTTAATCTGCTATCATTGCAGTCCTTTTTAAATAGAGGAATGTGTTAGAAACATGTACTGGATTTTATAGCACTCTGCTTTTCTCTTATAATTGTTGGTAAAAATAGATTACAGGATTAGTATGTAAAGGATTTGTTTTATTTGTGATGCCTGTAGAGGATGCGTCTGTGCGTCTGCTTCAGCTACTCATCAGTTTCAGTCTCTGACTGTGGGCAAGGAAACCAAAATGATGAAAAAGATAGCAGAAAGTGATTCACTGAAAAAATATTGACTTGAATGGACTTCATCAGGCATTTAGTGTGATCAGTGTTGTGTTTTAAAAGAGGCAATAAGATGAAAATTAAACTGAAATGCCTCAAACTGCCCATTTCATTTCATAGCTATTCGTCCAGTAAAGAGACTTGATTTCTTCTGGAGCTGAACATTTGCATCTCAGTCACTGAGCACCAGCATTTCCATTCTGTGGCAGAGCTTGCTTCAATTTAAATTTGAATTAGTTGGTCTTTTTAGCATGGGAGGCATCCCATCCAGCTGTCTAAAAGGTCTTGCTACTACTTGTGTCAGTTAAGTTCACCTCGGGCAGAAAAAGAGCTGTGGAAGGGATTCATCCCACCTACTTGAGGTCCATCTCTGGGGAGGGAGTTGCTGTGGAGGGAACCTGGATGGCTAGCTTAGGTTGCTGCCTGATTTTTAGTCTTTGAATAAATAAATTAATATATACAGTGGTTGAATTTGAGCCTTCCTTGTTGTGTTCTTGAAGCTGAGCAATAGCAATTGATCCAGCTTAGTGTAATTTCCAGCTGTGGGGTACCTTTGGGGCCATAGCTGATCCCTCCATAACCAATTACTTTATTTTCTTCCTTTCCCTTAGTCCAGTTTATTGTGTGTGCCGTGAACCATGACCAATGTCCATAAGAAAAGGTGGTAGCGGAAAGCAGTACAAAGAAAGAGGGTTAGAATAGTTCTGTATTGATTCTGTTATCATTAACTAAGTTCTTCTTAAAATCCAACTAAATACACAAAGCAGTATTGGTTTTAAATGCTTTCTGTCTATAGAGATCTTGTTGTAAATACCTTCTAAAAGATGATCTGGTAAAAAATGCTAAAATACATTTGAGAATTAAGGGGCAACCAAATGAGCACCCTCTCTCAGGTAGCCTTTCTCTGCTCTCTCCCAGGACCTGTTAACACGACACAAACTGTTGGTAGCAGAATTTCTGGAACAAAATTATGATGTGGTAAGTATAAATGGTAGAAGAATTTATTTTTTTTAAATCTGTTCATGCTTGACTGGGAAAAGCATGCTTTCAATAGCAGAGGGTTTCATACTCTACATAAAATAGTCACACAGGACTGCAAAACTAAACATTGCTTTTACCAAAGCAGAGTCCTTGCGTGGCATTTGAAACACACCTGGGTACACGTGCCAAGGTTTCAGGGGAACTCAGAGTTTAAAAGCAAGTTTTATTCCTCTCTGCGTGCATTTATCTCCTCATAGGTAAATGAAACTGTAAACTTTGAATGTTAATAGATCACGGGGAGAAAAAGATGCACATTTTTCAAAAGTTCTGTGATATTCCAGGATCGATAGGGCTGTATCAATGTTATTTGTAATACTTTGGGACGGAGGAGAAGAGTTACTGGAAGAAGTTTTAGCATTAATGAAAATTACATGTACTTAAATGCAGGCCTGAGGTGTGCGTATTCCTCTTACCACGCTAAAGGCAATTCATGCCTTGATTTGCTGCCATTTTTCACTGATTTTTTTTAGGCTTGGTTTTATACCAAATGTGGGTCAGAAAAATTCCATTGGAATCAACTAAAATTGGACTGATACGGATCATGGAATTAGACTATGGGTTATGTTCTCATGTTACCTGAAATATTCTTTATTTCATTGCCAAAGTGAAAAGGCTGAAGACTATTTCTTTCTTTCTAGAGTTACCAAGAAGGTTAAATAAAGATCAGGCTTATTATTGCTGAGTCACAAATGCAGCTTAACTGGAGCAAAATTGGTGTCTCTGCTAATCATAGAATCATAGAATTGTCAGGATTGGAAGGGACCTTAAAGATCATCTAGTTCCAACCCCCCTGCCATGGGCAGGGACATCCCCCACTAGATCAGGCTGCTCAGAGCCCCATCCAGCCTGGCCTTAAAAACTTCCAGGGATGGGGCTTCCCCCCCCTCTCTGGGCAACCTGTGCCAGTGTCTCACCACCCTCACGGTGAAGAACTTCTTCCTAACGTCCAATCTGAACCGATCCATCTCTAGCTTAAACCATTCCCTCTAGTCCTATCACTACCCAACATCCTAAAAAGTCCCTCACCAGCTTTCTTGTAGGCCCCCTTGAGTTACTTTTAATACTGAAGCACTGCACTGGAACTGTGCCCCTTCTGCCTTTATTTAACATTTTAAAATTTTCAGTATAAATTGTGGATGTGAGCATTTTTTTTAGATGATACTTGGATACAGTGCTGGCGAGTTTTTTGCTTGTTTAGTACATGCAGTAGCCTTCTCTCTCAGTCTTCTCGACCATAAGATTCCCTTGGCCCAATTCTGCAACAGCCAGCACCTGCCTGGCTCCTAGGGACCCTCACCAGGCAAACGGCTTTAACGAGTGAGGGTGCTGAAGGCAGATGAGGGGGCATCTCGCGAAAGAAGCTTCTGCACATGCCAGTATGGGATGCACCCTCACCAGTTTTGGCGTGTAGTATCAAATCACACAGTGAGTCGTGACCAGGAGACGAATGAGTGGACATTGACGTGCTGGACCCACGTGTCCTGGCACCAAATCCACTCTCCTGTAAGAGAGAGCTGTACGGACACTGGCTTACTTCTCTCCGAGTTGGCTCACACCAGCTCCTGTTCCATCCAGTCCATATGTGGTATCCCTGTCTGCAGTATTTGGAAGAGGAGTGTTTCTGGGCATGAATTCACTGCATGATAACCATCCAAGAAAAAAAAGGCCATGAGAGCTGGGCCTGGCATTGAAGTGACGTGTTAGATAGCTGCAGAGCCTCTGCTGCTCCTCTGGGGTGGGAAGGACCGGGAGGTGGAAGAGTGAATAGGAATCTGGTGCATTTGTGTTTTCTTCTTTCTCTAGATCTTTGAGGATTATGAAAAACTCCTTCATTCTGAGAATTATGTGACGAAGAGACAATCTTTGAAGGTAAAGTCAAGTCTCTCAGCACTCTCCTAAATTTGAACTCCACGTTATGCAGGGTATCGAGATGCATGTATGGCAACAGAGCAGCCACGTACTTTCTAACAAAAAAGAAAAAAGTCCTTAGTGTGCTTTTCTTACAATGCACAAGAGCTCGCTGCGTTTTTTCTTTCCTGGATTTCCGGTGAAGCGTTGGGCTATTTCTATGGAACAAGTACAATCATTTTTCCTCTGACCTCAAATCGAAACATGAACTTGAGAGGAACAGGAATGTCTCTGTTTGCCTGGTGCTGCGTGCTGCTAGAGCACCACGTCTGACCTGACCTGCAGATGGGAGCACATAGGTGTGCTAGTGTAACACCTGAATGAAGTGAAGGTGTCCTAGCTGGCTCACACCAGCTCCTGTTACACCCAGCCCCCATGTGGATCCCTCTCTGCAGTGTTTAGAAGATAAGCATTACTGGGCATTAAGTAAGTCACTGCATGATCAAATCTATCTACTTTTTTTTTTTAAAGGTACTGACATTGAGACTTCTTAGACAGGCATTAAAATCGGTTGCTGCTTTCTTTGCATTCAAAGATAATGGGAACTGAAAAAAAATGTGGTGGTTTTTTTACTTGTGTCTATAGCTTCTGGGTGAATTGATTCTGGACCGACACAACTTTGCCATCATGACAAAGTACATCAGCAAACCAGAAAATTTGAAGCTGATGATGAACTTGCTGCGAGACAAAAGCCCCAACATTCAGTTTGAAGCATTCCATGTGTTCAAGGTGAGCTATCATGAGCTGAAGAGGTGACACATTTTCTCTTCTCCTCATAAAAGTGTCTTTCCAGCTGGGCAAGAGAAAGCTCGGAAAACTAAGGCAGAGGCTGGGGATTATAGCCACTTCCAGCATTTGAGAATGTCTTAACTGGAAGCTTGTCTATCACTCAGCTTCTGATTTCTGTCTGCCTTCCTTCAGGTGAGACCTAAAGCATAATCATTTTGGTTTGGGCTGAGGGTAGTCAGTCAAGTAGCGATGAGGTGGATGCTACAGGTAACAAAATACACATCTTCTAGGTATGGTACCTTCCCTCAACTCTTAGGAAATTTTACTGTGTGACTCTGGACATAAAGGCTAAAAAAAAAAATGTCTTAAAACTCTACATTAAGACTAAAATCAGATGATGCTGTCACTGTGCATCAGTGTGAACACACTTGCTTTTAAAGGTATTAAAAAGATTTGGTAAAACTGGGTATGAAATGAGTTCAGTCCTTCTGTCCTTTTGGAGAGGTCATTAATGCAGTCTTAAAGAATTACCATACCCAGCCAGTGTCCCTTTTTTCGTGATGATTAATGTTAATAAGTTATTAAGTTTACCATTTTCCTAACAAAAAATTCTCCGTTCTGTAGTAGAGAGTGAGTTGGACTGTTATTATGCAAAACTACCTTTAATTTGAAATTAAAACATTAATTTCAAGCTATAGACTTGTTACTGATTTTCCGAAGAGGAATGTTGAGCCGTGAAGAATAACCTTCCCCAAAATGGTTAAGAAAGATCACATGGTTAATGTGATGAAAATGGTTAAGTAAGACCACACTAAAAGGTATGCTGTTGGAAAAAGGTTACACAGATTCAGGGTGATTTGTTGAGTTTTGTACTTCTGCCATTTCTGATTTGGAAAAAAGCTTTCAGACCTGCAGTGAGAAAGCTTAGAGGATGTGCAGCTTCTCCAAAAAGCTTTTTTTTTTTTTTTAAAAAAAAAAAAGCTTCAAGGAGTATTAAAAAAAAAAAAAGATAAAAAAACCTTTTCTGAAATAAGCAGCTTGGTAAGCTGTTCCCTTGCTGACTCCTCCATAGCTGAACCACTGTGAGGAACTTCTCCGCCTTATCAGGAGGTATGTGGCTCCAAGATAAGCGAGCAGTCAGGCTCCAAACACAGACCGTTTGAGATGCCTGTGAAGGGATCAGAGGATTGGCTCTCTTAGCACTCTGTGAATAAATGCCAGATTTTTATGTGTGAAACACATGAGTTGCTCTTCCTGAATTAATGATAGACATGGCCCAGGCCATGGCCACAGCTGATTTCACTTATTTTAATGGGCATTTGAAAAGATTTGGAATAACTTGAAAGGTTTCCAATGTGCAACCATGTCACGCATCTCTGTTGCTCCCATTCTGCCTTCCCATTCCTCCCTTCCTTTCCTTTTCCAGTAGCTTGCGTCCCATTTCCATTTAGAGTGGAGATACTGGAGGCTCAGCCTCGCTTGACTGCTTGCAATTGTTACCACATGGACATAACGGAGAGGCCTTGGAGTGCCCAGCCAAACAAATAGTCCGTGGTGGTGCCGTGGTGTCTCTTCAGGGCAAAGGGAACGTGGGATGTTGTTGGTTTGTTTTTTCCCACTGGTGCCTGTTAGCACCATTTAAGCGGTGCTGTGGCGTTCCTCACGCTATCTCACGTGTATAAAGCTCATGGAGGGGAAATTGGAGACTGGGAGCAGAGCCTGATCAGCTGGAAATTGCTCATTTATAACCACAAGCAGCACATGAGAGTAACCAGAAGTCCTCACTGAGGATCTGGGTTAGCTGGAGGTAGAAGCATTCAGCTTCTCCCCAGTGGGGAGGATAGTTGCAGGGTGTGTTATAGAAAATTGTATTGTGAATTAGCTCCGTGGAGCAGGTCAGAGGAGATTGTTTTCCTCTGATTTCTTGTCTTAAATTGAATTCTAACTTCATGAGAACTACTAAAGGAAATCGTTAAATATTTAAGAGAATAGGAAAAAATGCTATTGGATGCTTGTGCCCTGTTCTGCAGTGCCCCTGCTTCCCGTTACTGCATTAGTGTCCCTCATCTCGGTTCTCTTGTCAGCTGGGATAATTCCATGCGAATGTAACTGGAAGAGGAATCTTGTCCTCAGCTTTTAATCTCATAAATTTTAAACTGTGCCTGCCTTTTTAAATTGTGCTTGCAAAATACCTGTGCAGTCCTGGCTGAAATTACAGTAGACTAACCAGAGCAATTTGAAATCAAAGGTTCTGCTGAGAAGTAGATACTTGCTGTTCTGTCTAAGCTGCCAAAAGATTTAGGTTTAAATTACCCGATATAGATGTTTCATGAGTTAGATGCAGTTGAAATGAAAAAGTGCTTGTTTTGTAAGCATCCAGATTTCAACACTCCCATGCCCCAGCTGACCCAAAAAAAGACATATGACTCTCAACTCCTGGAGGCAGTTTCTAGCTACTGAAGATCCAAAACTGTAAGACAGAGATGAAATTGATGAGCACCTCTAGTGCAAAACTATTTTGCAGGAACAAAACTATTTTGCAGGCTGAAAACGCTGGTACTGCTGCAAGCTCTGAGAACATTTCACTTATCCAAGACTGTTTGGGTGGGAAGTTGAAGACAAACAGAGCACCCGCTTGCAGTACCTCCTTCCATCCCCCATTGAGAAGAGGCTTGATCTTCCTTCTAGCTCCAGCTCCTTCTCTTCCTCTTGCCTGAGCAAAATGGAGCTTCTGCCCTGTGGCACCATCCTAAAGGCCTGTGGCGGCTTTATGAAGCTGGATGTCCCAGACAGTGTGTGCATGAGGATTAGCTCATATTTAATCATCAGGAAAACTAACATACCTCAGCCCTTTCCTCCTCCGCGTTAAATAATCCAGCAGGGTCGCCTAGAGTTACAGGCGTTGAGAGTCATCGATACTTCTCTGCATTGATTTGAGTGGAGAGGTCTCAGTCTTGAGCGTGCACATGTTGAGGACCAAATATTGGAAAGATTTATCCAGCTCCTGTGATGGATTTGTGACAGTTATTAGTGGAGCTTGCTTTGAGTTTGCCTGTGGGGAAGACCAAATCTTTCAGATGTACATGAACATGGCACAGGTATTCCTTTGACTTTATGCATTTACAAATAAAGGCTAATAACAAGCTCTCTTGGCTTTCACGTAAACAGATTATTTTGAGGAAAACACCCTGTAATGGTGAGTTGGGATTATGCAACTTTCTTAAGCAGACATTTAGGAAGATATATTTTACTGTTTAAATCTAAAAATAGAATGAGTACACTGTGTTTTGTGACCTTAGTTTCATTTTTCCATTCTCTTTTGCGCATGTTACAGAGCTACCTCCTGCAGCTTGCTCTGCAAATGGTCTCACATAATTGGACTGTACTGACAGTTTCCTCTTGGTATGAAGCTGAAACCAAACTTGTGGGAATGTGTCCTCTCTGGTTTTCAACTGAAGAGTTTAAAGGACAAGAAGCATTATACGAATTATAGCACTTTGTGAGCAACATGAACCATAAGGCACTTCTGCGTGCAGTCTCCTGATGCACTAAGGTTGTGTGTGACCCCAGAGCAAGAGTTAAAATATAAAATACCCAATCCAGGGTATCCAACCCCTGGTAATCAGTTTTGCTCTGCTGTAGTCCTGGAGGGCCTGATTATTAATTGTAAGGCCAGATTCTCTAGGCAAGTGATTTTTGGCGTTTGTTTGAAGAAATACAGTGTATGAGTTTTAATGGAGAAGAGAGCAACAGTTCCACTTTTTGAAGCTTCAGAGTTGATTTTCATTCCAGGCCTTTTGCAAATATTCACTAAATGGAACTGTGCTGAAACAGTTATTTTTAGAGTTGGAATTTTAATATGAGTGCTCTCTTTATTTTGAGTCTCCGTCTCTTTCATCTATCTGAATTAAGTGCTCTAGAACATGCAACCTTTCATAATAAAACTACAGGTGAAATTAAATTCTCTGTGAAGTGTTTTAGCTTCAGTTAAACTTCATTTTAGCAGAAATGTTCTCATTAGCATTAATAATGATTTCTATTTTCAGGATTTGCCTCCTCCTCTGTGACAATACAGAGTTCTGAATGAGAAGGGCTGTTTTAAAAGTAAAGTCTCATGGTGTCCTAATCCTGGGCTTTTGTGAAGCTGATTAGTTGGTACTGGCAGAATTGATTTTGTTTGCTTAGCCAAAGTACTGAATAGCATTACAGGAATTTTCTGGTCCTTTAACATTCTCTCTTTACAAGTCCCTGTTGATACTGAGCAAGACTGGCAGTCAAGATGATCTTTGTTTGAATGTTCAGTTTGACAGTTTTGCAAGGGGAAGATTATAAATAAACGAGCAGGAAGATAAACAGGATGTGATGTCTTCTATTAAACCAAGTTCTTCAATTATTTGCTATGGTAATACCAGTTGTAGGACCAATACAAAATGCTGGTATTTACTAGGTTTACCACTAAAACCTTCCAGATAGCTTTACAAGAAGAATGATTTATAGTTCTTTATTTTAAGAGTCAGCCTTCATCTATCTTTGTAAGGAGGCTTAATATTCATTGAAGGAAGATGTTCATCATTTCAATGTCAGGCCTTCTTCAATGGATCCTATTTACAGTGTAATCAGATAATTTCTGGAAATGTGGGCCCTGCCTGTGTACTTGATGGATTTCTTCTCCTGGTCACAAAGCAGGATCTGACCTCCAAAATTAAAAAACCTCTAATGAAGATCTGTAGTAGTTACTTTCCTCATCCTTGCTGGTAGGCTTAGGTGTGTTTTTTCTCAAAGGAAGCTTGTCCAGGTGACTGGGAGCTTATCGCAGCCCAAATCCTGGAAGTATCCAGCCTCCATCAGCGTGGTGACCTCCTGTAGGTCAGCACATGGGGAGCTGCGTCGTGGGGCTGCTTGAGCTGAGAGCACAAACTGCCGCAATCTCAGCCAGAGCCAAACGTTCATAACCACAGGATTTCAAGATTTGCGTTCCCTAGATAAGGCACAGACTGGAATGCTGTAAAGTAGGTTCAGTAGTGATTTACATCCTCAAACTCTTTATTTCCCAGTGTAAGGGGAACCGATGCATCAATAGCAACGTATCAAAGTTGTTTGCAGGGGATTGTCGAAGGGGATACTGCTTGCAGATGCTGCAGGCAGCGACAGAACAATCAGTTACTGACAGCCCATCTAGTGTGGTGAGAGCTGTGCACCGACTGTCCAAGCCACTGGTAGGTGTGTCCCAAGGTGTTGCACTTTGAGTACATGGAGCGTCGCGTGGGAAAGCTGTTATTTTAGAGTAGCTGCTCTGAAGGGCAGGGATTAGGGCTCTTAGGGCATCAGGATGCCAGGGGCTAAGAGCAGATGTTTTGTCTCACTTCTATGGAATAAAAAATGTATCTCGCTGTCTGGGCAGAAGTGTTTAGAGTGACACTGTCAGTGTATGCCGAGCCCCACTACTTCCACACGTTCCCCACATGTGGCATTTTCCACACGACTTGTGTAACACCTCCTAACTGAGATGTACGAAACCTAACGATGGGTTCAGTCTGAATCCTGTCCCAGGCTTTACCAGATGTTGTTTCTGGGGGCAAGGGGCTGTAGCACAGCCCCCCAAAGACGGTGCATGTGTGTTCTTCATCATGGAACGTGGCAGCTCCCTGCGCAGCTGGATGTGACCCAGGTTTTCAGTCTCAGTGGAGAAAAGGGAACCTGCAGTCTTCTGCAGGTCTGGAGCCAGCAGCCCCGGGGCCGGGCGAGTGATGGTGCCGCCTGCGCTCGGCCGGACAACATGCCATTCTGTACCGTCAGCAGATGTTTGTTTTCATTGTGGTTTGAACAGGCTTGGAGGGAAACTGGACGTTTTCCAGCCTTGTCCATCTTTAATTTCTTCTTGTCGAGTAGAGAATAACTCGAGTTATTTATGTCGTTGCACAAGCATTCGAGCAGTGTTTTGTTGACCAGCCATGGCAACCTCGGTGCAAGCCAGATGTGGGAGGTCCTCCTGGGCTGGCCGGGAGTGGGCTGCGCTGGGTGTCTTCCCACCCACGGCCCCCTCTGACTGATGGCCGCAGAGCCCACATCTCCGCAGCATCCTGAGGTCCCTGGGAAGGACTCATCACTGCTGGCCTTCACCCACTGGCCTTAAGTTTCCTGTTGTCAGCTGGAGCACAAGGCAGAGAAAATGTTAAAGAAACAGTGTCGTGGTGTAGGAACTCATATTCAGAGCTTTAGGCAGCTTTAGGCATTACAGTGGAGGAAATCAGAACACTGCTAGGTTTCTCCTTATCCTAGGTTTATCCAGGTGAGTATCTGTGTCTCGTGTCACCTCCTGGCATTGCCACCCTCCTCTGCTCGGCGAGGTTGGCAACAGCGGTGCTTCTGCTCCAGCTGCTGGAAATTTCCACGCTCCCATGAATGGATTAGGCAGAGGGAAGTGGAGCCTCTGACATATTTGTCCAAACCAAAACAAAGCTGGCAAGTCTAATTTTAGGCCTGGTTTAGTATGGAAATGATATCAATACTGACACAAAGCTTTTCCGTTCTCCTGATAATTAATTTCTGTGTGTTTAAGTCTCACATGTGGAAGAGGCTGAGAATTGATAGCTTGCTTTCAACAGCTGCGTTTACAATTAAATGCTTTTCTCAACAAGGAGCAAAATGAAAGGGAAGTGATACCACACACAGGCACAGCTTTGCGTCGGTTTGCTGTTGAACCAGCATGTTTGTAACTCCTCTCTCTGTGCCTTGGGACAAGGTGTGTAGCAGCAGAGTATCTGCCTGCCAGGCTTCAGCTGACTTGATAGAAAATATTTTACGGCAATATTGTGACTGATGTTCCTCTCTCTCTCTCTCTCTCTCTCTCTCTGTGTGTCTCGCTGTGCTCCTGGGTTTGTTTGCATGTTAGGTTTTTGTGGCCAGTCCAAACAAAACACAGCCTATTGTGGAGATCCTGTTGAAAAACCAACCTAAGCTAATTGAGTTTCTGAGCAATTTCCAGAAAGAGAGGACGGATGATGAACAATTCACTGACGAGAAGAACTACCTGATTAAGCAAATCCGAGACTTGAAAAAGCCAACGGCATGAAGAACTCCTCTCGTTTTCCACTGTAGGCATTAATCTCATTTGTGTCCCTTAAACACCACAATAGTGCTTGAGAAGGCACAGCAAGTGCCTGGTTTTTATTTTGTCTTTGTTCCTAGATGTCAAGAGTATAGGGATTTTACATGAAAACTAAAACAAAACAGAAATCTAGAATAATATATTATTTTTAATCAAGACTATAATTATTTATGTCAGTTTAGAATCTCTCTGTAATAGAATCTGGTTTGACGGATTTTTGGTTTTGCTCAAGGAGAATGAACCTCTCTGCTTAACTTAATCAGCAGACTCAAGCTGTTGGTGAGTGCACAGAATAGGTCTCTTCTGAGGACTATAACATTGTTCCTTTGCACCTGTAATTGTGACTTTGTTGTAGTGCTGCACACACACAAGACTGTGAAAGAGTATGTTCGTCTCTGGAGTTAGCTGCACTTATAGATCATTCTTTAGTTGAAACAGTGGGAGATGAAAAAGCAGTAAAGGTCACATTTTTGCTTTTTTTGGTGTGTGCATTTTTTCATATTTAAGTTTTTTATTCCCCTAGCTCAGAGGTTTCCTGTTCAGTGCTAGGGAATGGGTAAAGACATCAGCCAGATGAGCTGTTTCTGCCTGGCTCCCATTCTCCTGTGAAGGATCTGCCTTGTGCAGGGCACGGGCAGTTCCCACCACCTCTCAAGCAGACTGGTGAGGAGCAGCCCCAGGTACACGATGCCCACGTACGCTCCCCCCAAGGGAAGGTGGCCAGAGTAACCCCCACCTTTCCCCATTCTTCATTGCTAATAAAGTGATCCTGCACCTACTAAAATCATCAGGAAGCCTGTCCCCTGTTTCAGTGGGAGTAATTTTAAGTGGTGGCCAGAGCCACGTGGCTAAATCATGCCAAGCGCTGAGCCCCAGCACCAGTGTGAGAGAAGGATCCTCAGCATCTTCCCATCCAGAATTCAAATCCCAGCTGTGCAAGGTGAGTTCAGCGAGGGGATCCTGGAACAGCCTCAGCCTGAACTGAGAGGTGGGCTGGGGTCCCTGAGTCTGCAGGTGCTCTCAAAGCTGACAGCATTTACTGGGTACCCAAATCAAGCGTGGGAGGCCGTTGAGCAGCCCGGGCACCAAAGGCTAATCGGAGTCTGGCGTTTGCTGTCCGTGTTCACCCCGATGTGAATTCAGGTTCTGCGTTGAAGTTGTAAGAAGGGGAAATCATTGCACTGTTCGTGTTGTAAGTTTAATAAGCTCTGTAGTCCAAGCAGACTTTCCCAGGTGTGGTCGAAGTGTCTTTCATTTTCTAGGGGGAAATGAAAACGTTACTCTGATGATTTATTAGGAAGTGGAGTTTGAGAGCAGGGAGAGGAAATTTCTTGAACTTTTTTGGACAGCCTAAGTTCTGAATTTTCCTATTTGTTAGAAGACAGTTGTCTAACTAAAACTCTAGCTAATGCTTCAGATGAAAAGGTGACTCTGAACTGTAAAAACAGAACAGGCTTTTCCTTCTTTAAATTGTTGTGGGGTGGCTGAAACTTTAATTTATGTGCTTTAGAAAAGGGATGAAACAGAACAGATTGTAGACTTCTTTTTTTCAGATGTCAGATATACACAACAAATGTACATCTTAGTTGCCTGGAAGTTAAAAAAAAATATTTACAAGCTATTAAAGGCATGATTACTGATCACCCTTTATTTCTATTTCTGTTTGGTTTTTTTTTCCTTGTGCCTTTCTGGATAGCTGGACTCCACGCAGTGCTAAATTCTTCCTCTCCTTTGCCAGCTGGTTTCAGCAGATGGAGAGTGAGAGATGAGCAATGTCTTCAGAGCTAATGTGCTCCACAAGCATTGCATCTGCAGCCCTGGCTGGCAGGGTGTCTGGCTCTGGTCCAGCTCAGCCAGGCTGCCATCTTCACCCCCAGCCCCGTGGGTGGTGCACACCACCGGTGGCAGCTTGTGGGTCGATAAAGATCCATCTCCAGAGTCACAGTCCTTCAGAACTAGTCATTTAAGACTGATCCTCCGAGTTTTAGAGCCTGAAGCCGAAGGGCGCTTGGCCGTGCTCTGAGCTCCTGGGGTGGGGCCGGTCCCCAGGGCTGGGTTAACACAGAGACACGTGTTCATTGCCTCAGCCTCTGGAGTCACATGAGAACATCGGGCTTCCAGCCTGCGCTCGGAAAAAGTGTCTAATGGTGTGTTGCTGCCCGTGGCTATGTGAGTGTAACCCGCACTGAGGTGCCCAGTGGAGCTGTGAGAGTGGTCAGCACTGTGACCTACTCTTGTCTGCATGGGCTGGATGCAGAAAAGCGCTTGAAGATATCAAAACCTGGCTGTGGTATGAGGAGAGAGGTTACACCCATGCCCACTAACGTCTGTGTAGGCAGAGCTGTGGCAGGTCAATAGGGAAGTGAGTGGTTGTCCCCAGCCCTGCAAAGGTAGTGCTCTGGTGAGAGCAAGCATCAGACCAGAGGTCTCTGAAAAAGGGGTCTGTGTGTCTGCAAGAGAGAGGAATGGTCTTACAGTGAAAGGACATGTGCCAGGCCCCTTGCAGCTTGTTATACAAGAAGCCAGTCCTGAGGTAGATGTTGCCGACACACCTCAAAGTAATTGAGTCTTCCCCATGCCTAACTTGCTTAGCTCTTTGAAAGAAGAAAAAGCAAAATAAATGTTGAAGATGAAATTAAGTGCTGTAATAATATTTCAGAGCAGGTGAGGACACATCCCTAATTAAATGAAAATGAGGTCTTTTCTAGTGACACTGAAATAATGATAGAATTCCCAGTTTTCCTCAGTGCATTCAGTCAAGGTGGTTCTTCTGCCCAAGAGACTGCTCCCACCAGGAACTCACAATTTCTCTGAAATTAGTATCCGTATGATTGCAGGACACAGTTCATCAGCATCAAGACAGGGAAGATTGTAGTCTAGGGAGAGAGAAAGAAGCTGGAGGACGCTTGGGCCGCAGCCTCTCCATTCCAATCCCCACCTCGCATTCGGGGGGTTTGGATCATATGAATGAATCTCTGCCAACATGCGATGTACAATCCTGCACATAAAACCTTACTTGATACAGCAGAGTGCCAGGAATCTTTGAACCATAAGCTTCTGTCCTGGGATTTGGGCAGCTTGTGTTACTAAGAAAAATCTGATTAGAAGCGACAAGAGCCTCCTGCCCTGTTTGTAATGGCCTGTACACCAGCAGGTGTGAACCTGGGAGGAGGATGCAGAGCTCTGGCCTTCAAGAAATGTGAGTGTTAAGACCGCTTGAGCCTCTTAATCTGCATGTTCCGGGGACAAGATCAGATGAGAAGGAAAGAATGACTTGGAAATGTAATCTAATGATAAAAGCACTCACATGAAGGCGAGCGAGATCTGGATCCCATTCGTTCTCTAGTGCGTGTTTTGCCCTCGTCTTTGAAATTGGAGCAGGACTAAGAGATCGCAGGCCTCTTTCCAAAGGGTGCAGTGATGTTTAGTCAATAGAGACTTTTTCTCTGGCCCAACAAATGGTTCATTTTTCTCTCTGAAGTAGAATCACTTCAGAATTTTGGCTGGAAGCACCTTCCTGCAGAATGTCTTATACCTGGCAGTAAAAGCTGTTATGAAGCAGAAGGGATATGGATTTTGGTCTCTGACATGAAAGGGAATTGTACTTAGTTCTCTCCCTTCTTGACTAAGCACGTTTCATAAAAAAATCGGCCTTCCACCAATTTTGGACTTGCGTTTTGG